ATATCACTCTTAATTTGGCAGAGGCAGCAGGCCATGTGGCTCGGCAAGATCAGTTTTTGCAACTCCGGAGTCATGGTGAGGATGTTCTCCAGCACTGCAGGGGGCACGTGTGTTGCTCCCAAGTCTAGGTGTTTTAATGCTGGTAATTTAAAAAAAGATGGATCTTTGATAGTTGTCAGAGGGTTATTGTTGAGGACTACTTGATGTAAAAACTGCATCCCATGCCATGCATGAAATGTTCCGTAGCTGATCTGAGAAACAAAATTGCAACGAAGATTTACAAATTGCAAAAAGGGTAGTGAGTCAAATGTCCCTCTTTCAATTGAATGTATTTTATTGCAGGATAAATCTAAGTACTGCGGGGACAGCAGGCCTGCAAAGGAGTCTTTTCGTAATTCAGTCAGGGAGTTTCCACTGAGATTTAGTTTCGCAACCCACTGGTATGTTCTCCAAACATTCTTATCAAGGGAAGAAATAGAATTTCCTTGGAAATTTAAAATGGTGAAGGTCCTGTTGTGGGCACTGGGCTCGAGGGCAGGCACCTCGTGCAGCCTGCGCGTGGGGCCAAGGTCAGTGCAAGACAGGGTCTCCTCCTGGCGGGAACAGAGCTCGCATATGTCCTTGTGTGTCGTGCTGCTCTGTGCACTTAGCACAGTTAGAGCCTTCACCTCCGCTGGTTGAGTGGTGACTTCAGTCAGGATTGGATGCTGAGTCTGAACCTGGTCTGGGCGTGGCAGCGTCACCCCAGTCTGTGTTACAGGAGCTGTAGATTTCTGCAGGGACGGAGAGTGTGCAGCCCCTGTGAAGGGCACGGCAGTGCTGCTGGGATCCACGTGGGAAGGTGGGCCTGCGACCAGGCTTGATGGGCGATGTTGAGTGGGCTCCTGACCAGGATTTGGAGCTCCCGTCTCCGGAGGCACTGGAGGTTGAGTGACAGACTCAGCTGGGTCTGCAGGCTGGGAGGAGGGCTTCTGCACAGCTGGAGGAACTCTAGCTTCTGCAGTCCATGGTGGAGTTCTGGTAAGCTGTGGGTCCAAAGGTCCAACTGTGCCCAGAATCAGGTTTGGTGGTGGAAGTGTCACCTCGGCGGGCCTTGCGTGAACAGCTGCAGACCTCAGAAGCAGTTTTCGGAGCCTCTCTCGCCAAGGTAGCTTGGCACGCAGACCTTGAGGGGGGGCGGCAACCTTTTCCAGTTATGGGGACAGCTGTCCCACAAACCTCTGAGGTGGAGGCAACATCTTGGTGGGCACCGAGGAATCCGGGTAAACAAAGCCCCCAGGCTCTTCTGGGGGAGTAAGAACAGTGAGTGATTCAAGCAAGAGATCAGAATCAAGGGAAGAGGGCTTATTAGCTGCTAGGGGCGCAGAGTTCAGGTGAACTCAGTATGGGGTCCAGCCTGGCTGTGGGACAGCCAGGATGGGCAGACACATCTGTTGCCAGTGCAGCAACAGTGTAGCCCAGAAATAAAGCGAAAACATGACAGGGCAAGGGTCAGTCGCACAGATCTAGGCCAGTAGGGTGCTGACCCTAG